CTTTTTCCACTAGCTGCTGTCAATTGCCCGGCAACAGGTGGACAACGGACTTGTTCCGTGCCAAACCCAGCCCTCAGACAGTCTCTTTAGCAAGAACAACTATACTACGATTACAGATGAGGGCAAAGCTGTTACCATCGTTCGGCAACGATTTTGGGTACAATGCTGGCAATCAGCGCTTGTTGATAAAGAACAGGCTGGTCAGACGCTCAAGATGAGAACTGGGTGCACCAAGTTAGTGATGTAACCAAAGCAGCATCCACACTAACGTACACGACACAGAGTCCCCTGAACGGAGAAGGCGGGGAGGGGCGGGTAATTGAGAGGGGAAGTTCTCCTTTGGGAGCGCATAGACTTGGTGCTGCCCGATCTAAATGTCGTTTGCTCCGGCATATGCAGCATTCTCAGATATCCGATTATGGGTATTCATCCTCGGCTCACAGCAATGGGAACTCTCTAGGGAGACATCCATTATTTGTGGATGAAAGGCGATAATAATGGAGAAAGCCCCTGGATCGTGTTGTTTTGTTTTTTACAAATTGTTGTTTTTCGACCTTATCGACCAATGTGTCATCGTCATTCACGGGTTGCCGTTCTAAGAAGATCTGCGATCCTCTTCTTATGAATGGCGTGGTTGGAACTGGAAGGAGTGAGCGACCCTCTGACTTGTAATGCCACCCGACTTGGTGAACAGACTTGGTGTTTTGCCAAAAAAAGGGGCAGGAAAAAGGGGGCCGGAATGCAGGAAAAAGGGGGCCGGAATAGGTGATAATCGCGTCTAATGGCGTCTAAATCAGAAGAATAGGGAGATATTTTGCTGTGTCCCAGACTAGCTCTTCAATTTCAGAAAGGTCTCTCTAATAATATGAGGTTGCAGAGAAGCGTCACCTACCACTGCTTCATGCGTAAGGGTGTATACACTATTCCTACAAAGAGCGCCTTCGTATACCTGTACCTGAGACTCTTTAAAGCAGGAAGTTGGCTGATCTCTCTTTTATGCATCAACTGACAGCAGACGACATCTGCTTGCAGCTGTCTGACTTTTTTGAGATCCTGCCTAACATAAGTGTCTGTAGAGGTCATCCCTATCGAAGTTCGCCTCGCCTCGACAAACCAAATTACTCGTTACGAGTTACGAGTTACGCGAGGGCTTGGGAGGGTTGGCAGACCTACTAAGTTGGTATACGAAGCCGCAGCTCCACGGTTTGGTTTGTTGGCCGCCCATTGTGCGCTCCTTTTGCTCAGCCCACCACTTCTTTTTCCGCGTACCCAGTAGCTTTTTCGATGAACCATATTTTCTCTTGTCTCTTCATGTGCATATAAATTCTGTGAATTTTCCTACTCCTTTTCTTACGGTCTTGTTTCTCCTGTTTCTCCTCTACTATTGCCATGCTTGGAGATTGTCGGTATCGGCGCGGAGGTAG